CTGTCTCTATTGCAGGATGCTGTTTGTAGGAGCCAGGGAGGGCCACTGGCCACCAATCTTTTCCATGATTCACATTCACAGACATACACCTTTGCCTGCTGTGCTATTACTGGTAAAGTACATCCCTCACACTGTAAAGTAAAAGGAAATCCAGCAATGTCTTTTTTTCTAATCACTGTGCTTTACTATCCTCTATGTCACTGTATAAAACAGTTACAACAGACTTGGACTGAATGGTGGTATGTCACTACAGCTGTATTGTCTGTGTCTCCAGTACCCCTTGACTGTGTTGATTGTGATCGTTGGAGAGATCTACCAGCTCATCAATGTTGTCTCCTTTGGCAGCTGGTTTTTCATGGCCTTGGCAACCTTGGGGATGCTCATCCATCGGTACCGCTTCCCCCTCCACCCAAGACCTTTCAAAGTTAGCCTGCCAGTAGTTATAGCACTCAACTGCAAAGCATTTCTTATCCATCTGCACACTAGCCTGACCAAATGTTATTTGCTTTGTCTAAAAACCCAAAGGTGCCTGTGGCCATCACATTCATCTTTACAGTGGTTTGCTTCTTCATCGTGGGTATGTCTCTGTATTCAGACCCCTGGAACACAGGGATAAGCTGTGCTCTCACACTGACTGGAGTCCCAGTTTATTATTTGACTGTCCACCGCTTCCATCTGCCCCACAGATGGCGACGCATCTTCAGTAAGTCATACTGAGATCTGCCAACTTGTGTTTGGTGAAAGGTTTGAACAGAAAATGTCTCAAACAGCCATTTAATGTGGGAAATTTCCATTTTGGTGGAAGAATATTCATCTGTATTTTCAATATTTGTAAATTAAATTAAACTTTCCTGGATGTTAAAATTGAATGATTTCATATGCCTGCTCATTTTGAATCAAAGCTGACATATTCATGCGGAGCTAAATGAGTGAAATTCATCTGCTTTTCGAGCATGGGTAAGTTTGTTTATAAGAAACAACTAATTTGCTTTTCACACTAGATTCATGCAGGACAGCGACCCTATTATTCCTGGGTTTTTGATTTACTTTTTCCATTTAAAGACAAAACACAGACCTGGAGCTAAATCAGAAATCTTACTGAAAGTGTTCTCCAAATGCAGAATGGTGGTAAATATTGCACAGCAGTAAAAGTAAAATGTACGTTTCAAATGCCCAAGGCTTATTAAATCCTACTGTGGACATTTTACCCTTGTCTTGTGAAAAAAATCACTTTGTTAACCAGTTCTCAGACATATTAATCATTTTAACCCCAGAGCTGAGGGTTAGGGATCGACCAGGGAAAATAACTTTGATTCTCTTCCCCTTTCCCAGACTACTGCAGCTTACAGGTACAGCTCCTTCTAGAAGTGGTTCAACAGGAAGTCCAGACATACTGAACACCCCAAAGACATCCTGGTTTCTGTTGACAGAATCTGTGGTTACCAGCTGAAGAACTGCTAGAAGCTTCTTTGTACAGAAGTTTAAACCAGTATGTTTTAAGTGTCGGTTGTAATACATTAAGAATTTTAAGTTACAATTGCAAGAAAACTCTTGAACCTACACTAGAGAAAATGGAAAATCTGACTTCTCTTATAAAATTTGACTTAATTATTCTAAGAAAAGTTGCTAATATTGGGCAATTTTCAGGGCCAGTTTCTAACATTCATTGACACTGGAATGAAACACACTCTTCCCTATCACTGTCCTTCTGTATGACCATCAAAATCTCTGAACATTTCATGGTTCTAGCTTCATTATAGGCTAAGTTATGGCAGAAAATATGCATTAAATGGGGTTTTCAATGGCAGTCAGACCCAGAATCCAAATTATATTCAAATGAAATTTGGTGTGGTAATAGACATTGCCACCCTACATATGCATGTCAAATTTTTAAGTGTTTCAATAATGTTTGACAGAGATATGAATTTTTAAAATGTTGCCTCATGTTATAGAAGGGGACTTTTGTGATTTGTCTGTTAGGCTTTTGTGACCTTGACATTTAACCTTTTCCAGCCAAAATCTAATCACTTCTAGGGTTGGTTCCCATTGATGTCTGTGCCAAGTATGCTAATGATCCATCCAGCTGTTCATCTTCGATGTCACAATAAATAAATAATAAACTCCATAATATTACTGTACTATTCTTTCATCATCTTTCACTGACAATGGCGAGACACGGGGTACACCGTGGACAGGTCGCCAGTCTATCACAGGACTGAAACTTACACACAGACAAGCACACGCAATTTAGAGTCACCAGTCAACCTAAGCTGCATGTCTTTGGACTGTGGAAGGAAGCCAGAGTACTGAACATGTAAAAACCACGCAGAAAGGCTGCTAGTCCAGCCAAGGCTCAAACCTGGAACCTTCTTGCTGTGAGGCAATAGCACTAACATCTGCACTACTATGCTGCCCACAAGCTATATATTGTTACTTTAATGCACCTTTAAATTACAATGAATCCTCATTTGGCTAGGAAGCATGTACCTCCATGTTATCAAACTTAAATGAACACCTACACAGAATACAGGAAACTCCTGGGACCCTCCTTTGTAGCTCATGGGAAAGGTCAGGGCATATTCCCTTTTTATTCTTCTTCATGTGAGATGAGCCCATGGGAGAAAGGGTTGGGAATGTGTCTGAGGTTGCTTTGGCCTCCCTTTGACTGGGCAGGTATCTTGGGAGGTCAGGTGGAAAACAGCAGGATATGCACGTGTGAGCTTGTGTCAGGTTTACCTGCAGTGAGAGGGGCTTTATTCAGTGCTGCACTGGGATTTCACACCACGATACTCAAAATGTCCAACGTATTTGGGAAAGAATTATAGCCTCCACCTTTAACTGCAGTGGCCACAGTTTAGAATGAATTGGAAGTCAAAGTTAACAACCACTGAAGATTTGTTTCAGATTTTATATGGATTGAATATTTGCTCTTTGCTCCTACAGGTACTTAAATGTTAAAACCCAGGTAAAGTGTAACAGTTAAATGATAAGGCCAGACATTTCCTATAATAACTTAAACCAACAATGATTTCCCTCTACTCATGATTACTGTCTGTCAGTCTGTCAGAACTGGATTAGCTTGTCCGTCTTTGCCAAGGACGTTCACTGTCATTCAAAAACAATTAAAAACACACATTGGTGAACCATACCACTACACTGGGTGACATGTTTCCTCATTAGAAAACACCAGATATTAACACCAGATATTTTTTCAAAATGTTGCCCCAAAGATTCCAAATGCCACAACTTGTTACAGCAGTAACATGTTGATGTAAACAAGAGTCAAGGGCTCATACACCAGATGTCTAAAATATTAGGATCTTGTGTTTCATACTTTGTCACCCTGTGCAGTGGTGTGCTTCCCTAATGTGTTTTCAGTTGTTTTTTGAACATCAATAGAGAGCTTTATCACAGACAAATAAGTATATATTCTATTTTGTATGGGCTTCGCCTATTGGATTTTTCCCTCGCGCAGTCCTGAGGAGATTTTTTCATGCCCTGTGACCTGTACTGGGCTGTCCCCAAACATGTCTGCTTTGGTGGCATAAATGTCAATGTGACCGTGCTCCCTCTTTTTCTTCAGCAGTCTAAAGAGTGATTCCTAAATGTGGCTAAAGATCAAATGCCAGACTCCAGCACTGCACTGTCATCAGACATAATGGGGGATTTCTACAACACATGCAGTGTATTTGCTCCATACATGAGCAAATACACAGATTAAAAGGAGCGCAAAAACTTTTATATGCGCATCCATCCATCCATCCATCCATTTTCTATACCGCTTAGTCCAAAATGGGGTCACGGGGGGCTGAAGCCAATCCCAGCCGGCTGCGGGCGAGAGGCAGGGTACACCCTGGACAGGTCACCAGTCCATCGCAGTTATATGCGCATAGAGAAATGAATTCACAACATAATTAAGTTGCGGTATTACTTGCCCTGTTTCATGTCATTTAGTTACTGGGTTGCTGAGTGTTTTGTTGTAGGTTCAAACATTGCGGCCATTTCTAAAGTCATTAAATATGGTTATGTGTGTGTCATGTGAGTAGTCGTCACTGTGACTCGACTGGGATGGGGCGGAGCCTAGGGTGTGTTTTTATGGAAGAACTAAAATGTACTGATGTTATTAGTTGATGCATGGTCCTCTGTTGCAGTTTATAGTTTTTAAATGAATTCATTTAATTTTTTTGTAAAAACCTATTTATGTATTAATTTATTAAATTCTAAAAGATCTCTTATTTTATCTATTTATTTTATTTTTCCTCTTTCTTTATTTATTCCTCCTCCCTCCTTTTTTACTTATTGCCAGACTCTATATAGAGTCGAACATACTCACACAAACCGCCATCACACACAAACCGCATGTAAAATTTTCCCACATTCTTCCAGATGATGTCTCCTCCTCCTCCTAATACCTGCACTGACTGCAGATGCAGTCATTCACATTTGAAGCCTCTTGGTAAGTATTGTGTGCTGGGTTTTTTTTTAAAAGGCAGCTCTATTGCTGATGAAGTGAAACTGACATCCATACAGTGGTCAGTCAAGTGTCATGATTTCGTCCCGTTGGCTTCCGTTCTCATGCTTTTATTTTGACATTACTTCCTGTTTCGGTGTCACCTCGGTTTCGGACTCTTTACTCCAATTGGCGGTTATTGTTTGAACCTGTTTTCACCCCCTTATAGCCAGCTTCCCCATGCCAAGAAGCTTCCCGATCATGGGTTTTCTGCGCCGCAGACCCCCATCTGTGCAATCCCATTACATGACAAAGCAGGACCTCCTGCATGCAAACACTGTGTGTACACAGAAGTTAAAGTGGTCAGTTTCTAACAATTGGAAATTATACATGCAAGGAAAATAAATGTATTAAAGTAACCAAGGCTCAGTAGTTCTGGTCAATCATCAGTACAGTTTTACCATGTGTAAGCAAGGAAGGTAAACATATGAAACGTAACTGAAAGACAATGAAGAACTGAAAAGTAACTAAAGCTGATAAAGTAACTAGAGTCTATAAGACTCAAATCTTACACAATCACTGGGCAAGAGAGAGCAATATGGGGATTAAAAAGGAATGTCTTGAGCTCTCGATCTTTTCCATTCCATAGAATGGAAACAGATACTTTTTCCCCTCAATAAATATTATAATGTACAATAGACTATTTAGACTTTAAGTGAATTTTTACAGCAAATTGAGAAATGTGTGAGTGAGGATTGGACCCTGTCTGGCCCCATGGAAAAGTTCTCC